GTTCAGGACACGGCCAAACAGCCGGAAAAAACCCACAACAACCATTAGATCCCGGTCGTGAAAGCCTTCTCAAATACATTTATTTATTCACCTAGTACAATATATTTCTCAATTTAAATTTCTCAGATAACTGCCTAATATACAGCACTAGTCTAAGCCACTAAAAGACAGTATGGCTAAATACAAGACACAACCTTTTAATATCCTGTTGATTTCAGTGGAAGAGTTAAGCACAAACTTGAATTTCTCTCACTGAAATAAAAAAAAGTACTTCAAAGTACTTAGCTTCAGAGTAAATATATGATGCCTATAATAACATAAGGCTTACCTGCCACTGAGGCCCTGCTTCCACATGAACAGTTGTCCTTTGATCCCACATTATTGTGATGTGTTCATTAGGAAAATATACAATTGTAAAAAATCCAGCCTTCCATATAAATATTTGTTGTAATTTGTCTATGAAACTCAATGAACTCTGCAATAAGGTGCTTTTCAGAATACTGGATATAAACTATTTGAACCATCTGGAAAAAGGTACATTTAAAATCGCTTTGGACAAATCTTCAGTATATAGTAATCAGTCATTTTGCTCTACATGACACTTTATCACCCTCGACAGATATCAATACAACCACTTTAATATGCTTGATTCTGTTAACATGCCAATGCAGAAAGGAAACAAGGGTACATAATTGGAAAATTTGTAATGTACGCACTCTTACATCCAGAACTAGGTGTTCTAATATTTGAGCTTCAGATAAAGCAAACTGACAAGGTGATAAAAAAAGAGACAGATGGATAAATATCATGGAGCAAAAGAGCAAAACATGGACATTTCTTTTTCTGATTACTCCACCTAGCTGCCAGGGTCAATGGCCATCTTGGCAGCAAGATTTTGGGAGTTATAGTTCCAGAAAAGGAACTTTCCCAGGGTCTGCAGAAAGACAAGCTCTACTAGATCTAACCAAGCACTTACATAGCTTAGTATCCTTCTTACAAAACAGATCCTCCAATATTTTTGGGAAATGCATAAGCAAGGAAGGTAAGCAATAGCATACCCCCCCCTCCACACACCATTAGTGCACCACTGGCATACAGAAATATATTGTTATGCCATGAGGAATTAGGTAGCCTAAGTAGATGACAAACCCTATTTCTCTATACTTTGGCCTTAAAAACATGAAAAAATAGTGACACTGTTATTCATCCTTGATGAAAAGGAGTATCTCAACCCATTGGTTAAAAAATGTTGTGAACTGCGAGTTGTTGTGTTTTGTTTTGTTTTGCTACTGCTTGAGTAAAAAAATACCAGTGCGTCTTTCTTCAGCACTAATATTAGCCAAAAAAAGTATGTTTCATACATAAAACTTATACTCTGGATAAAATACAGATTTTCTTGCACATATACAAAAAATGCTTTTGCGAACTTTTCACAAAACATCTTAATAAAATATGCTTTAAAACTCTCGTAATCCCACACAGCCAGGAGAAAACTTTTGAAGATGTTTAATCACACCTGCAGGAACAAATTAAACAAAGGTTTGCCTGCCTACTCTAGTCATGCACAGTTTCAGTGTTAAGATTCAAGCTGCAGTGTTTACAGGGTCATCTTCTTGGAAGTCTTATCATGAACATACACCTCTTTCATCCTCTGTCTCACTTGAGACTCCTCAGTTTTTAAACTGACTGACAGACTTTCCTTTCTTTATAATAATAATGTTATTAAAGAAAATTAATAATGACACCACTAACATTAAACGTATAAATATACAATCAATACATCTATATTCCCCTCCTGTGCCACCCTCACCCTCGGGACTAGGTCACAAAAATATCCTTTTAATCCCTTTTCACCCCATTCCACTCCAAAAATACATTGATTCTTCTGCTGGCTTATGGCCTTTCCCTTTCAATGGAGGATGGATTTGTAAGGATCATTAGACCACCCCTAGGGTCCACAAGTGGCCTATATGATGGCCACCATAGCTCTAAAAGTGTATTCTTATGGCTAGATAGAATTTATGTTTCAATATTTCAAATAAAGTGAGGTATTATATAGGAATAATAATTCATGTAAGCTTCATGCTTCCCTTGCAGCCTACTAGAGCTGTTATAGGAATTTTTCAAATAGCTTTACATTCACCAGCATATGAACCATAGATGAGCAGCTGTTCTAGTAACAACAAAATGAGTCTAATTGTTGGAAGACAGACATACAATCAATACATCTATAATTCCCCTCCTGTGCCACCCTCACCCTCGGGACTAGGTCACAAAAATATCCTCTGAATCCCTTTTCACCTCATTCCACTCCAAAAATACATTCTTCTGCTGGCTTATGACCTTTCCCTTTCACAAGGACATAGTTCAAATATAAATTTCATACCTCTTTAAAATCATTACATTTTGTCATCCCCCTTCTTACTTTCATTTCACATGTTAATCACTAAACTCCACATTTCTTTGTACCAATCTTCAAGATTAATTTGCTTATCATTTTTGAAATTCTTTGCAAATATTAGTCTTGCTGTTGTGACCATTAATTTCTGTTCTTTTCTAATGTGGTCATTCTTAATTATATTTAATAAGGCAATAATTGGTGATATTTGAATATTATATCCAATTATTTCTCTAATTTCTTGAAAAATCAGTGCCCATTGTATCTTGTTTCACAAGTCCACCACATATGCATATAGGTCCCTTTTTCTTTTTTACATCTCCAGCACTGAGATGGTACATTTTTATTTATTATATTCATTCTTGCTGGAGTAAAGTACCATCTCCATGCAACCTTGTGACAATTTTCTTTCATCCCTATAGGCATATTCTTTGTTATTCTTAGTGATCATATTTTATTCCAATCCTCACTTTTGACCTCTTCCTCTAAATCCTCTTGCCACTGATTTTTCATCATAGCTTTTTCAGATCCTGTTTGTGTTAAAATCTTATAAATTACACTAACTGTACCCTTTTTCTTTTTTCCTTCCTCTCGAATTTGTCTTTACTCAATAATCTCAAATTTTGTCAACTTTCTAATTTCTCCGACTTTTCTGAGCAATTTCTTTGTCCAACTTTCCAATTGGAATATGTTTAACCAAGATATCCCTTTGTCCTACCCCAAAATTTCCTTTATAATATTTGTATCTTTCATCTTTTTCATCCAGCTCCTTATTGTATTTAACACTTTCTCTACTAATACTTCTTTAAATTTAATTTTAAGAATTTTGGGGAAGTTCGGAATTTCCACTACTTGTTGTAATGGGGAAATAAGTTTTCTTTCACCCCTATAGGCATATTCTTTGTTATTCTTAGTCCCCCGATCTAATAGAATATTCTGACATTTCCATTTCCATTAAATTTCTAGTATGTGCAGTAATATCCAGAATATGTCTAAGCTGGTTTGCAATGGAATAAATTTTAACATTTGGTAATCCAAGCCCTCCTTCCTTTTGTGGAATATATCATAGATTCTTATTGATCCTAGTTCATTTGTTTCCATTACAATAGTTATTTATCAACTTCTGCCAATCTTTCAAATATGTTTCTCTGATCTTTATTGGGAGCATCCAAAATGCAAAATTCAGTTTAGAAATAATATTCATTTTACATAATGCTATTCTTCCAAACCATGACAATTTAAATTTTTGATATTTATCAGTTTACTATTTTTTTCTTAAATTTATCCATATTAAATTTAACTATTTCTTGTAAATTCCATGTAATGTAAATTCCTAATTATTTAATTGTACGTTCAATTCTTCCCTTAAATTCTTTTTTCAGTTCCTTCTCATCTACTTCTGAATGATCTAATAAAATACATTCAGATTTCTCCCAATTTACTTTCAAACCAGTTATTTCTTCAAATGACAGACTTTCCTCCTTCTCTGGTTCATAAGATCTGGACACCTTTTTAATCTCTGAATTTTATACATTTTGATTTGCTTTATCTGTTTTATCTGTTCTCTTTTTTGGCCTTTTCCTTTTGTTTCACTTGTCCAATAAATTCCTGTTCAGAGGTAATATCTACATTTCTGTCATAAATACACAACCAATTGCTTCCCAGCTTGATTTTCTACTGAAGTGCCTTCTTGCCTTGCATTAGACCACAGGCCTCACAAAATTCTTAGTTTCTCCAGATATAAGTCAGGTTATGGACTTTTTGTCTAAACCATTATGAAGTTCCAAGGACAGCTGACATTTCTTATGTAACATCTGTATGCATTTGCAGCTTAATTCATATGTATTTATCTTTAGCATCTAGCTTATAAGCATAAACACATTCATATCTGTAGACCTCTTCTTCTACATTGCTAGAGCTTACCGGATCTCCAGTGTCATCATCAAATATTATGAATGATTTTCCAATGTTAATGAAAATAGACTTCCTGCAAATGATTCCAGTATTAAAGCAACTAACATTTTCTATGATGACTGAAAAACTAGTAATTGAGAAACTCTGCAGAAGAAAAATAAAACAGATGATTCAAACTCACAAATACCTCATGAAGCAAACCTTGTACATTTACATGCCCAGCACTTTAGTCCACGTGCAACCCATGTTTACCCTCTTGATGCCTTACTAGCTCTGAAAAGGAAAGATGCATACATATTTTATGAGATGATACAGTAGGTAGGAGTTGGCTATACAAATAGTGATTTGTAACAAATAGAGATGGGGGTATTCATATTCGTATACGAATACCCCATCTCTAGTAACAAAGGATATAATGAATCAAAGTTCTCACATATCATTAGGAATATATGCTGATTGTTAGTGGTTGTAGCTACATGAGCACACAGAGCAAGATTTCTTCAGAGTCATCTTGTAACATTTACTATTAAGGGAACAGTTCCTCTTCCAGGACACCTCTAGAAAAATAGAACTGTCTGGGGTTTGGTTGTTTTTCGGGCCCTTTGGCCGTGTTCTGAAGGTTGTCCTTCCTAACGTTTCGCCAGTCTCTGAGGCCGGCATCTTCAGAGGACAGCACTCTGTGCTCTGGTGTCTGGGGTTTCTTCCCTGCTCAATTTTAGAGACTTTTTAAATTTCCTTTGAGAGATGGGCACAAAGCACCAGTCTGGGGATAAATGAACTGGCACAAACCACCATCTCCAGCAGGCACCCACTCAGAGCCAGTGTCCCAGGCACTTCCTCTGGGCACTGAGTGGGTGGGTGCTGGAGACAGTCGGGCACCAAACTGCTGGACACCTGTTGCAGTGGTAAATGAACTGGCACAAATGACCAAACTGGTGGTTCATGCCTATTTTTATTTTCTTTATATGTAAGGAATGCCAAACAGTTAAGACTGAACTTAAATGTCTTACCACTCCTCAATATTCCTGAAGCCTACTGTTAAGTAAACCAACATGAAGAAGAATTTTAAAAACTTGTAAACGTTAACATGCCAGGTTAACAATACACATGTTGTTTGTTCTCTGTTTATTAATAAACATAACTAGAACATGCAACCATATTCAACGGCCCGAATCCTATGCAGCATAAGTGGTATAAAGAGTGGTGACAAATTGTTGCTAACCAGAAAGTTGTCATTCTTATTCCTGCTCATGTGCCAGCCACATGACTTGGCACATGATGAGGAATATGAGTAGCAAATCATTAATCAGTGGCAACTAACCACTGTGATTTATACCATTACATTTAAACCAGTGTAAATCCCCAATAGGACTCTAGCTATTATTCGACATAGTGTTCAAATTCCTATTGCTTAGAGCAGGCCCAGTGAATCAGAAGGGATATGGAACTCGGTAAGTTCCATTGATTCCAATGGGCCTGTTCTAACTACAACTTTAGCATAATAAGTTGCAGTTAGAGTAGGCCCATTTGAATCAATGGAACTTATACAGGAATTGATTCATTAAATCACCACTGATTTGATGGGCCTACTTTAGTGCAATTTACTACACTAAGAAACAGAATTTTTAGCCATTATGTTGCTACATGAACAGGAGTTTTACGTTTTAGTGGGCCTAGTAATTAAATTTCAAACAAAAGCTTATGTTCGTAAGGTTTATCTCTTATTTCTCTCAATCTTTAGATCTTGAGATATTAATTACACAGGTGTTACCAAAGTCAAAATTCAGGGAAAAAATAAGATATGTATACTTAACGTATTTCTTAAGTATTACCTTAACCATGTAAACCTTACAATTTCCAACATAATCAAAGGAAAGTCCATCAAAAGTTCTGTAATGGCGATCTCCATACGCAGTACACATTGATGGGCAGGGGTAGAAAGTACATTCAAATGATCCATGATGGCAAACACTGAAAAACAAGAATATTGAATAATAACAGTTGTAACTGAATGCTGGCATACCTTCTGGCTACTGTTTATAAAAGTGAAATGTCATCCTGCAGGTTACTGACACTCGTTATGATTCTCATATACAAAACTCTTCAATATGTATTCTACCTATATGGTGCAAGGAAAGGAGGAAATCCATAAATAGAAAGCAGCATTTCCATACCTGGTAAACATGACTACTCTGTATATTTTACTCACAGTCAACGACCTCGCTAAATGCTGCCACAGCAGACAGCAATAGTATCATGGTATCTCACTTTGAGGAGAATGGTATATTTGACCAAACTGATAAAAACACATGCTGAACCTCTATATTGCACGAGAGACCAGAAACTTTTTATAGCATACAGACTACTTTATTGTAAACCTAGCCTATTATTTATCAAAGCTGGTTAGCCTCATATGCTTCACACACAAAAATTTCTCCTAATATAAACAGAACATTCCAGTCAACAATAATAATTAGCACAGAGCTTTGAGACCTGAACATGCAAATGCTAATTCTTTGGAAAGAAGTTGCAAAATATATTACCAAGTATATTTTTCAACATTTTCATGTGTGCACAGCTCTCTGTGGAAGCTGCCATCATGAACTGACAAAGGTACCTGTTGTTTTCGACAAGGTATACAACCTGTTCCTTGTCAGATTGCCATTGCAGCTTGTTTATGTGGTCCATGGACATATATATTTAACAGGATTATAGTATTTTATTTTTGTACATATGCGCATTGTGTTATGTACTTACTTTAATTTAAAAAATTGACTCAAATAAATTACATTGGGACAAATATACATGTACGGACTAGTGGTTTTGTAGTCTTCCCCTTTTTTTCAAAAGTCACCATATATGTATCTGAACTGAGCTATTTGCCCTCTATTGAATGAACAAAATGTGCAAATGGCAATAATACCTATGTCTCTTCTTCCTACATATGATAAATCAGAAAACAAGTGTCATGCCAATTGCTGTTTCTGTGGTTCATATAAGATCACCTTATTATGTGCATCATTGTGATTTACTATAATGCTAAAATTAACCAGTGTAGAACAAGGAGGGAGTACAAAATGTATATTAGGATCTGAAAACAAAATCAACACAAATTATCCAGGAAAAAAATCAAATATCAAAATACTTGGTATTAAATAAGCAGGATTGTATTTAAACCCTCATGTACATTTGCCAAAAATATCAGCCGGTATCTTATTAGCTTTTACTGAGAAGACAGCCCCACCCCCCCCAATCACACTAACCTGGAATTATACCATATGAAAGTGTTTCTGTTTGCATGTAAAGTCTGGCTATTAATCATAAGGATAACAGCTTGTGCAGTGGCACAGCATGTGCAAATGCATATTCCTGTGTTACTATACTGGTGAGACTTTCTGCTTAATGGAAGCTGGTCCATAATTTATCCTCCCAAAAGAGAGTGCCTTTCACATGGAGTGACAGAATCAAAGCACATAGAATAATGACAACTGAGACTTTTCTCTGTCAAGATCATGTTATTGAAATATCTCAGTATTTATACCTGTAACACTAAACAGTAATAATATATACTTTTATGTTACCATGCTTACCTTGATCATACTGTAAAACATATTGAACTGTAATCTACAAGCAAGGCCTGATAGATTTCTGATACATCAGTGGGTAAGAATCGGAAATGTATACTGTAATAAAGATCCGCTACATGAGAAGAAGAAAAAAGCAAATACTGACTACCTAATTATCATCTTGAACTGTGTGCAGTTAAGTGTTATGTTTAGGTTTTTCATATAATGTATCTTTCTGTTTGAACATTAGTATGGAAAAATAGTTCCCTTGTATCTTCAGGATTACTACAAACCCTTAGTAAAGGGGATTTTTTTAAAAAAAAAATGTGTGCAATCACTCAGTGAAAGTTGCAAATGTAAAGGCTTTGGGGAAGAAGGGTAATAACCCAGGATCACTTTACCTTCCTGCCAAGTAGAGATGGCTTGTAAGTCGCTTCAGCAGACGGCCAAAAGGCTACAAAAGTCTTCTAGAGCAGATACTGAGAACCTGACAAGAGGCAGAGGCAGTCAGTCAGCACAAGGCTGGAGTGGGCAAAGACATCCAGACAAGGCATTGACTAGTGCTGACTGGAACAGCCTGTGGAGCTACATAGGCCCAGTGGAAACAACATGGAATAAAGCAGGGATGGGCTAATTACAGGCTTCCAGATACTGTAGACTGTAATTCCCATCAGGCCTAAAACAGCATAGCCAGAAGTGGGAATCCTGGGAACTACATCACAAGAAGCATCTGGAGGGCTGCAACAAACAGACCAAATGGATTAATGGCAGGAGAGAGAGGTTGGGTGGAGAAGTAAGGAAGCTAACTGTTTAAATGGCATTCTTGTATGGTTTGGGAGTAGCTCTGTAGCGGACAAAAAAGCTCTACAGAGAACCATTCAAATTGCCCAGAATATCATCGGGTTCCAGGTATCAACTCTTCACATCCTGCTGTCTGGGGAAGTCACACATCTTTAGAGACTTTTCCCATCCTGCTCACAACTTCTTTGACTGTTGCCCTCTGGCAGAAGATACAGAACAATTAAGACCTCGAACCACATGTTTTCTGAATTTTTTTTATCCCAGAACTATAATTGCACTTAATAATGAACTTAAGAACCACCAGCAGTGAACAGTTGGACAGTGTTACTTAGCCTGCAGTGTAGATGTTTGTGTTCTTAGTGGGGGATTTTTAGTGGGTGGGGAGTGTTTGGGGATTTTTTATGTGTGTGCATGTGGGTCTTGTCTCTGGATGTCTGTGTGAATTTCATTGTATGTGTATACTATGTATATACTTACAATGACAATAAATTTGTTTGTTTAGAAATCTGTAGGGGGAGGATTTCTATGACATTGATGCGTGACTTTTTACTGCAGCTGGAACATTAGGCTGTGTTACAGAACCATAATACCATTGCTATGAGCCTGGACACAGATGAAAAGAAATGTAAGTTAGGATATTATCATCCCCATTTTAACTGTTAAATAATTGTTTGTAAGGCTTATAGACACAGCAGCATGTCCACTTGTGAGCTGAGGTTAATCTAGAAGTTTTCTGGAAAAACTGTTGTATAACTAGATTTCCATTTTAACTGTTAAATAATTGTTTGTAGGGCTTATAGACACAGCAGCATGTCCACGTGAGCTGAGGTTAATCTAGAAGAAACTTTCTGGAAAAACTGTTGTATAACTAGATTCTTTTGTCAGAACAGTTGCAAAAGTACAGATCACTGGGAAATCAGAGACCCAGTTTGCCTAGTTTTTGTTTAGAAAAACATGTTATAATACTCTTTGTTTGTGATTCAAAAAACCCTTCATTTTAGTTCCAGCTATGGAAAGGGCTAAAAGACTAGAAATGAGAGTTCATCTGGGTTACATGGCTTATATTTATCTTTGGAGTAAACTGCAAGTCACGTGCTAATATGAATATCCCCTTTATTTTATCTAAAATTGCAGGACAGCTTTAGCAGGAGAACATTTAATGTGGACCTGATGAAGTGTGGGTGTGAAAGAGGTTTCCTTGACACCTTCCCCAACACCAAATCCCCCCAATGACTTATCATCCTGTGAGGTTTAAAATATATGCTTGCAGGGGAGGAGAGGGTGTTTGCTCCTTAGTCGTAACACTGATGAACATTGTTTCCCGAATTGCTCTCCTTCATTTCCCCAGTCTATTGTTTAAAAACACTAAAAGCTATTTGAAAGTATTTCAATAAAAATTAAAACTACTCAAATGACAGGATATACATATTAACATAAAACAAACAGGGAAACAAACCAATGCAGAACCATCATTAGAGCACATGGAACATAAGAATTAAAAACATTAATCTGCACTCACCATGTATGGCAAGAAGAAATTACTTTGTCCCCAGGGAAGTATTCCTTGCCTTTCCAAGAACATGGACATTCCTCTGGCTTGAAACATTCACCACTGTGTTTAACAAGGCTATAAAAACATTAAGAAGTCATCCACTGTCAATTATATTATCAGTTTATTTATATACAGTAAATAAATATAGCTTCTATAGATGAAACGGTCCCCCTGTCCAATACCAACCTGGGGCCTGATTTTGAGGCTCAGTGAGGCCTTGCCCACACAAAGAAGATGACCACCATATTCCCTGGATGCTTTGGAAGCTTGGCATTCACCTAGTTGGCCAGGATGATCCTGATCCAGCCAATTAGGAAGGCTGGCTGGGGAGAATCTCAGCAAATCAGGAGCAGACTGACTGAGTACTGTAGAGTTAAGGTTCAAATGTTAACTATAGTGTGTTTATTGATAGTCAAGGAGCATGGGTGAAGTTCTCTCAGCTGGGTCCACAAACACTACTAGAGACCAATGAAAAGACTCCCCATCCCACACTATGTAGCTTTGCTGAGAAAGAATGTAGTATTCTTTCAATGAAAAAAAAAACGACATGCTTAAGAGATATATAAAGTTTCTGATTAATCAAACGTACAAGGGGCTTCTGATACAGAAGTGGGGGTCACAGATATTACTAGAAAAGTGCAAGATTTGAGCATTATACCATACTTTTGCTTTGGTGAAATTTGTGCCGTTGTACTCATGCCTATGCAGCGGACTTCTCATATGTAACTGAGTGGTGACTGTGACAGAGCCATAATCAGCAGTTTTGACACCCAGAGCTTTTCTGGGTTATGCTTATCAGTCACACATGGGACATTAAGACCACTAACCAGCATAATTTAGGACAGATTGGAGGAATAGGGTGGCATATCTCACTGTAAATGCTCAATGGTCATAATGGTTCTAAGCTTGAGCCTATATATTTAGGGTTTTTTTTTCTGTGAAGAGAGAAGGGGCTGGAGAGGTATACATTTTCAGAGTGGGTGAGTTAATGTCCTTTAGTCAACAAAAACCTGTGGTCAGATTCACATCCTTCCAGCAGCAAAATGTTGAGCTGTCTATAAATTTCAGTGCCCAGGATGACCACCTACTGCAACATACTATTTATGAGTTTGAGAAAAATAATGAACTAGATAGGACTTTGGTCTGATACAAAGCCTTGGAGTGTGATTATGGCATCTCAGCTCCAGAGCTTCCTAGCTGAAGTAGATTTATCTCTAGATCCTTTTCAGATTGGCTTCAGGTCTCTAGCTTTGAAAAGGCCATTTTGTTCAGCAAGTCCTATTTTTAATTAAATGTGAACAGAATTCCAGTATAAATCTTCCTTCTTCCCCCCCCTCAAACTACTGACACAAACTACTTCATTCCCTATAGCAATAGCAGTATAACTATTCACCTAACTACTTATTAGGATTGGCAGGTTTATTTTTTACATGCTTACAAGCTCTTTTTTAAAAAAAAATGCAGAAATGAGATCCCTTCTCCTTCCCAGCATTTCCTACAGAAGACTGGTTCAGGAATAATTACCCAGACTAGGAACAAAAAAATAGAAATAAGGCAGTGAATAGCCAAACACAAGTGCTAGATGATAGCTGCTAGAAAAGCAAATGGAATGGAACCTTTCACAAAGTGGCTGGCATTGTTACTCTTTTGGCTTGACAGAAATGCAACTTAAAATGTCAAAGAACATTTTTTTTTAAATAAAAAGTATATTTTGTAAATTGGGTAGTGTAAAAATAGCCCACAATCTTTACTGTATATCTGCTTTCGCTAAGTAACTTTTCAAGTTCTCCAATAATTTTACTAAGAAAAACAATAAAAACTTCAAAACATATGATTCATTTTACATTTCTTAATTTTCTTTAAAGTATATGAAACACTTTTGCAGACTCTACCATTTCAAGGGTTCCTTCAGTTTCCTGGATTAATAATGAAGTACATGTCTGAAAATTCCCACTGTTTTAAACTACCCACTAAATAGACCACATTCAGAAACAAAGAGCATCACTTTGACAAGGCAAGACCAAAGTGCAAGTTTCATCTCTGTAACATTATCCTGCATAAAACAAGTGCTAACAGCTTTCTCTCTTGAAAAGCCAAGCAGCCAGATTGATTTCAATGATCTAAGAATTCATAAAAACAAAATGCCATTTAGATGACAAATGGCTTTTTTAAAACTATGTACTGCATTATTTCTAAATGTCAATGTTTGATATGCTGCCTACAGATAAACTGAAATGACACACCTGCTCACAGATCCTATAATTCAGCCAGACATGATTTAATTTCACTGGCATCTCAGACATGTGCCATACTGGCATCTTCAAATAGAATCACTGGCTGACATCAAAACACAAATGAATGCAGGTGCACTCAAACAGTGGTGAATTTGAGATCTATAAAGTTCCCTTAATACATTTCACCTACGTCCATCACTAAAGGGACACTTTCCATGTTTTTATTAAAAAGAAATGCCAGGGGAAGACTAAATTACTCTTACATGCATTTCTCCCTGAGAGAAAACTGTATCTCACTTTCATCAATGAATATATGGGAGTGACCCCCTATACAACTACTCTAGACCGCCTAGAGTGGTCGTATAGACCAGATGGGCTGGGTATAAATAAATAAATAAATAAATAAATAAATAAATAAATAAATAAATAAATAAATAAATAAATAAATAAATAAAAACCACCAACCCCCACCAATCAAACCTCTTATCTAAGAGAGAAAATACCCCAAAACAAGAAGCACCAACAGCAGATATAAAACAAATGAAAGGTAATGCATGATAAAGTACCATGCAGGGAGGATGTCATGAAAAGTGTCTCTGAAAAGCAGTGTTTAAACAGATTTTCTAAATGCTAAGAGGGAAAGGGCCTGATGCACTTCTGCCGGCAGGGCATACCATAATGCAGCAGCCACCATTGAGAAAGCCCAGATTGTAGTTGTCCGATTCCTGGGCCTTCCTCAGAGTGGCAGCCCGGATCATCATATCTTGAGTGGAGTGGGTGGCACACACAGACAATCTCAAGGAGAGGCACTCCAACAAGTAACAGGAACATTTGATATATCTTATTGGACTCTTGCAGGCAATGTGGAAGCACCAAGCAGGAAGGGTTTGCCCTTTTTTCCTCTCCTCCATGGGGTGCTGGTGTTGTTTTCCTCTTTATACATAAGTCTAACCAATACATAAGGGACGTGGTGGCGCTGCGGGCTAAACCACAGAAGCCTGTGCTGCAGGGTCAGAAGACCAAGCAGTCGTAAGATTAAATCCACGTGACGGAGTGAGCGCCCGTCGCTTGTCCCAGCTCCCGCCAACCTAGCGGTTCAAAAGCATGGAAATGCAAGTAGATAAATAGGGACCACCTCGGTGGGAAGGTAACGGCGTTCCGTGTCTAAGTCGCACTGGCCATGTGACCACGGAAGATTGTCTTCAGACAAAAACACTGGCTCTATGGCTTGGAAACGGGGATGAGCACCGCCCCCTAGAGTTGAACACGACTGGAGAAAAATTGTCAAGGGGAACCTTTACCTTTAAATTTAACCAATACATATCCTCTTAGACCTTTCTCACTGCTACACCTGGGAAGTGGCATGAGGAGGACCTCAAGAGTGGTTCTCGTCCTCTACGGTTAAAGTGTTGTCCAAGAATTTGGAGCGAAATTTCCAGTAATTCCAAAGCCACCCTGCCATGCACAATAAGATTGCAGTCCAAATCTGGATCCAATCCATTAATTCCTGTACACATTTCTAAGCAAAGTATGGTGTACTGTATCCCCCCTCCTTTCTCTCTCACACACATGGCCGATATAATTTGCCTTTTAGTAGATGGCAAAGCATTATAGCAGAGCAAGGAGTTGTAATTACAGCTTGCATAAATATTTCCTGAAGACTCTTTTAATGTAAAATGCATGACTAACGTCATAATTCTACCCATTAGCTAAGTTACATAATACTGCATAAACATATATATGTGTCTATCACTTTGATGTCTTCTGGAAGGATCTGCAGGATGAGTGTCAGAGCGTCCTTTATCGGTATGTTGGTGAATAGGGATATTATGTCAACGCTGATCAGTCTGTCCCTGGGCTTGAGTTTTAGGGTGCTGATCTTGCTTATGAAATGTCTTGAGTCTTTGATGTAGGATGAAGTTTGTCCAATGTGGGTCTGTAGGAGGGTAGCTAGGTATTTTGCTAATTCATATGTTGGGGAACCGATGGCACTTACAATGGGCCTGAGTGGGACTGAGTCTTTGAGGATTTTGGGGAGTTCATATAGTCTTGGTGAGAGAGCTTCTGTCTTGCAGATTCATTGAAGGACATTGGGGTGCAGGGAGGAACTCCTGATCAACATGTTTGTTTGTTTTGTGATTTTGTTGTTTGGGTCCCGTTTCAGTTTTCTGTAGGTGCTGAGATCTAGAAGTTCCCTGATTTTGCCCTTGTATTCTTCTGTTTGCATGATTACTATGGCATTGCCTTTGTCTGAAGGCAGAATGATGATGTACGCATCTGAGTTTAGTGACTTGATACATTTCTCTCCTTTCTTGTTATGTTGCTTTTTGGGGGGTTTGCTTTTCGTAGGATCCTTGTCACTTCACCTCTTATTTCTTCTGCTTTTTCTTCTGGAAGATTATATCATGCTGATTTCATGTTGGCAGTGATGTCTTCCACAGGAATTTTACAATGGCAATGTTATCTTCCATAGAAATATGTGGAAGCTTTGGCAACTGGAGTAAGAACAAGATATTCATACTTCCTTTATCTTAACTACTGGAACATCTGGAGTAGTCCTGAGTTTATATAGCAGTAGACCATAGTGGGAGTATTGAAACAATTCATTCTACACTCACGTTGGCAGTGATGTCTTCCACAGGAATTTTACAATGGCAATGTTATCTTCCATAGAAATATGTGGAAGCTTTGGCAACTGGAGTAAGAACAAGATATTCATACTTCCTTTATCTTAACTACTGGAACATCTGGAGTAGTCCTGAGTTTATATAGCAGTAGACCATAGTGGGAGTATTGAAACAATTCATTCTACACACACACACACACAATGTAGACACACTGAGCTACCCTGCATTAGTTCCGCCTAGCCAAAGAAAATGCCACATTATAAAGGTATCTAATAATTTTACTTCTTAATTAAAGGGTCTGTAATACTTATTTGTTGCATTTAGTTTAATTATTTATATTTTAAGGCAAGATGAAATGAATAATTTTTTTTAATTCCTTTAGAAATAGAAGAAATCTTCCATGTGGATGAGTCCAACATGAGGGAAAAGGTTCAGGAATTATTTTATTTTATTTACTAGCACCATCCTTCTTACATGGACTTTTCAATGATTTTTCACCACATTGATTTATATTTTTCTTGTATACAGTCTTATCTCAAAGTTGGCACTTGTTCTAGATAACTAAATAATCAAGACAGGGATCTGGGTTGGTTAATGGGCTCTCAACAATATGGTGTCTGGTTTGCACTTATCTGCCATTATATGCCTATGTATGAATAGCTGCAATACATGCCAAGGGCACAGAATCAATTCAACTGTATTCTTTGCCATTATTGTGATTATGTTCTCGAAGGTAAGATCTTTTCCTTGTCGATTCATTGAATTGTGATACTATGAGGAATGATGATCCTAATCTATTTTAATAAGTCTTGCAAAAGAAAACTGTAAATATTGTAGAGTAATTAATCAATAAGAATCGTACAAGTGTACTTCCATTAATATTTTCTTTGATCAGTTTCCTGTTATTTTTGCCTTGGAAAAATAAGTCTTACTGCTAACAAAGCATAGGTTATACCCATCTAATTTCCTTTATTGTATTCTTATAACATTTGACAGACATTATATGAAAATATGATTTTTCTCTTGGTCATTTCCAAAATATTTGCAAATTAAAATTTGGTGTCACAATTTGTGTGTTGTTGCATAGATGGGTAAATAGGTAGACACTACTGGATTGCAACTCTCTTTTGACATAGCCAGTACAGTAAAAGGTAAAGGATGAAAGCAGTTGTCATCCAGCAATTATCATGAGTTAACAGGAAAATGAAAGTATTATTTTAAGAATAAGTCAATATTGGCATTTTAAAATAAAAGTAATTTCAGTCTCACATTTCCTAAATACAGATAACACTATCCATTTAACAAAATGGAATTCATGTGATTTTTGATTTATCATGGATTAGTCTCACATTACTTCAACCTTAGCAAAAGACAGCAAGCTGGGATACTATAAAAATAGCTCACAATAGTATATTTCTAGTAAATTCTGTTTATATTACAACTTATCTGGCAGAATCCTGTTGGTATAACTTAATGCGGTGTAACCTAAATTGGGTGCCAGAAGCAATTGATTTATGGTAATTAAAAGCTTCCTTCCTTTTAAGGTTTCAAGGCTCCCTAAGGCTCTTACATTTATGAGTACATTGTCTCGTGCTAGATGCTGCTTGTGTTTGTTACATAAGTTTTCCTACAACCCTTAGTAAAATGTGCATTTATTAGCAGAACAATGCTACATTTTGCCTTCTGCCACAGATGTGTTAAAAACAGCCCATAAAATGTGGGACTTCCTTAATGGTGCATTTCAAAAGAATAAGAGAACAATGACTTCAGGGCAAAAACACACTGCATTATGTACTGTACTCCAGGTGTTCTTTGCAGGCATACCTGTGTTCAACTTTGTACTGCCTGAATTTTGTGTTGTGCATATTTTAAATATAAAAAATCAAAATGAAAAGAAACTCCTTTTTACTTCAGAGACACCTGAAGGGTACTGCTGTCACAAAAGGTGGCTTCAAAATTACATTCCTTCTATGCTACTACTTCCCTAATATTTTGGGGCCATTGATAACAGACATTCTTGCATTCCATTAAAATCATTATTTTCATTGTGCAATTAGAAAGTGATGATTTTTTCTTTTCTTGTCTTTTTTAAAAGAAACCTTTCAGGAATTCATTTAAGCTTCTTAAAAGTTACTTGATCAGGTATGCCACCTGCTATTACAATGAGAAGCAATTTTTGTTCTTTTGGAGATAGAAAAAATATTCATAGATGCTGCAGATTTTCATTACTCTTGCAACATTTCATTTTCAGACAAATATTGCTCATTACTTCAAGGTTCAGAACAGAAAATGGTGGAAATTAGTCTAGTAGTACTAGTACTCGTGGTGGTGGTAGTAGTCACATATTGCCATTGCACATATCCCCTTAATTGGCAAGGCCTTTCTTACATCATGTCTGGACATCTGGATTGCTGAAGTAAATATAAGACTATGGATAGTGCAGTTTAACAGCAAAGTCCAGTAACAAAAGCTCATTTTGGAATGGACTGGGCAGATCCTAATTTATATAATATGACTTGTATGAGTCCAAACCCATACTAAATCAAGCTGAATGAACTTCTCACACATTATTTTCCATAGGACTATATATAGTCCCTTGTACCTCTGCAGATGAATATGACCTACACAGCCACTGAGCATGATAATCATTCCAGAACAGGTTAACAGCCTTCTATAGTATTCACCTTATCAAGACATGGAAACAGCAACTCACTGTGACACACTCGGTGTGGAAGTGGGTGCGAGATTTATACTGAAATAGCAATATAGAATAAATTTTGTTTTTTACTTACCCATGAGGGCAAGTGCATCCTGAAAAACAGGCAAGATGTGAAGAAAGAGTGAGGTTTAGTAGTTCATTTTCACATGTTCTTTCCCTGCCAAGTTCCATAGTGTGTGGATTACTACAGTTTACATAGATCTGGCCATCTGGACAGTTGTGAACTGAGAGAAAAAAAGAATTCAGATATATAAACATCACATTTTGATTAACAACCTCCACAGTCCTCTCCTCTGTACTAGGACCTAGTGGCAAACCCCTCCCTCTTCTGCTTATACATCTCAGATGAAATCATGTGTATCTATATTTTTCACAAGAAGTTATTTTCCTACTCTCATAGTATTGGAAATCGAATGCATCCAATTATCTGATTACAGTGATTGAAAAGAGATTTAAGACAGACAACTATAAGATTTTTTTTCTTACAACAATTCATTAATTTATGGAATTTTTCTGTGTGAAATTGTAACAGTGATCAATAAAGCCCTACTCAAGTGTTACAGAATTTAGTTTCCTGCACATGTTCAGAAAGGAGCAGTTGTCCCTACCCCTTAATTGTCACTTTTTCCACACAAATGACAAGTCAAAAGAAGAGAGCTCCTGCTGGCAGGTATGCTCTGCAATATGCATACGCAAGAACTATGGAAAATCTAGTGTTTCGCTTGTGCGCAGAACCTATGCATCAGCAGGATCCTCTCTTCAGACTGATTACTGCTCATGTGGAGAAAGTGATGACAGAGAGGACAAGGCTAGGTGCTCAAGCTTTAAACATGTCAATAATGCTGGGTTGGATTATGAGTGAACAGAGCGTAAGACTTCACAAAGGGGTTCAGACACATTTATAAATGATAAATCTATTAGAAGCAGCAACCCTCTGAGTACCAGGTGCTAGAGAGCCACAGCAGGAGGGGGTTTTGGGGGATTCAAGCAGCCATTGACTAATTAACTGTGTGAAACAAGATGCTGGACTAAGTGGGCTTTTGCTCAGATCCACCAACATGCTTATGCCCCTTTATGAATACATACATACATACATACATGCATGCATGCATGCATGCATGCATGCATGCATGCATGCATGCATGCATACATACATACATACACACACACACACACACACACACACACACACACACACATTATCATTCCATTAAAATGAAGAGTGCAACAGTCCTAATGGAGTCAAGAAATTCAAACATGGAAACAAAGCACAATTCTCTTTCCAAGGGTCACTATCTCATTTTCTCATAGTTCCCTTATAATTCTCATAACTGCAAGGCAACTTTAGAAACTATGTTTTCTTCAACAATTGGGAGTGACTCTCACTAAGGTTAACTGCTATCAATGTTGCTGCTGGTGTAACTAACAATAGTTAAGATTTGCAGAGCAAGGATTCTTATGAACGAATCATTTGCACCTTGTGACAATAGCTATAATGCTGGGAATTTTACATCAACATTAACTCTATGTGCCTTTTCTCTTACTATGTACAATTCATTTCACTTATCAATTTTTTTTTAAAGTAACATTACTAATGTATTTGCAAAGGCTTTCACAGCCGGGATCTAATGGTTGTTGTGGGTTTTTTGGGCTCTCTTTGATCAGGGCTACTCCTGTCCTCTGAAGATGCCGGCCACAGAGACTGGCGAAACGTTAGGAAGAACAACCTTCAGAACACAGCCAAAGTGTCCAAAAAACCCACAACAACCTTTACTATGTACAATTAATATCACGTATCAATTTTTTTTAAAAAAAGTAACATTACAGATGTATTTGCAAACGCTTTCACGGCCGGAATCTAATGGTTGTTGTGGGTTTTTTGGGCTCTCTTTGATCAGTGCTACTCCTGTCCTCTGAAGATGCCGGCCACAGAGACTGGCGAAACGTTAGGAAGAACAACCTTCAGAACACAGCCAAAGTGTCCAAAAAACCCACAACAACCATAACATTACGGAACCCATTCTTTTGGTTTATGACATCTTACTGCTTATATTATATGACAAAATGTCAGATGCAGGAGAGGGGCATCAGGAGACAGGTATCTAGTTGTCTCGTGTGCTCCCAGAGGCATCTAGTGGGCCCACTGTGAGATACAGGAAGCTGGACTAGATGGGCCCAGCAGGGATCTTCTTACGTTCTTATGACACTGCATTACATTTCCTAAATAATATCTATCTACATCTGCCATAAAGTTGATTCTGACTTATGATGAACCATGCCAGGATTTTCTAGGTTTGAAGTATTCTGAAATAATTTACCATTTCCTTCTTCTGGTTATCTCTGGGACTATTTACTGGAGTTTGCTCAGTGTCACATAGGTTGGTTCTACTCCTTGGGAGCACAGTAGGGAAGCAAACTTCCAATCTCTGACTCCACAGTCAGGTAGTCAACTCATCCAGCTATATGTTATGTTATGTTATGTTATGTTATGTTATGTTATGTTATGTTATGTTATGTTATGTTATGTTACGTTAACATCACATTATGTGAAATCCAATAGAAAGCTGCAACCAGAGTAGTCATTGAATGAGTGCAGGCTTGATGGGTCAACACCTATGTAATTTTCATTAATTTCAGTGTAGTCATTGAATCAAATTACATAGGTCAACACCTATGTAATTTTCATTAATTTAATGAGTCTGCTCTAGTTGCAACTTACTACTGAATTTCAACTTTGGTGTTGTAACACTGACATACTTCCCAGCCATAATCTCAAACTGGTTTCACTTCAGTTGAAGTATTTCAACCCATGTCTGTTTCAAGCTTGATGCATGATATCCCCCAACACACACATGGGACTCTCTAGGGATTATGGAATATATATATATGTTTGCTTCACATACCAGTGTCGACTTCCTCACAGTTCATTATTCCATCTTCACAACGGCTGAAAAAAATAAATTACGTTAGGAACATGCTGTAACATTTTAGAATAACAATTGGAAAAGTGATCAGGGAAATTTTTTTAAAAATTGGCACTGGTACATACATGCTATTTTCCCCCGATCTCTTTTTTGAGCACTCTTTCACTAAATTCTTAAACTGACTTCTAAGGACGGTTAAAGGACAATGTGGGGACTGAAACTGGTAGGCTTTTGAGAAGATTATCACAAATAAAGGACACCAAAGAACTGGTGTCATAGACAATTAATAGACACAACCTGTATTTCTTCCATTAGTGCCAGATTCGCTTGGAAAACTGATCTATAAATGGAGTGATCCACAAGAAATAAAAGAAGAAACCAATTTCCAAAAAGTCACAGAACATAAGAAAATAGAGATTTACAGGTATATATGCTGCTTTATATGCATGCAGATAGATATGAATGTAAATATTATAAAGAGAAATTAAAAATATTCTACCACAGTGAAAATCCCTTCCAAACTCAGGACCCAACTCTATGCAGCTATGGGTAGAGAAATGCAAGATGTTTTCAGTGTTGTAGCTCTTACTAAGTACTTCCTGTTCCTGTCACTGTATTTAGCAGAAGCCACAAGAATGTAGAACATAACACCGGAAATTACCTAAAGTGTGGGTGTAGCTTACCACTTTCCCAGAGATGTAATTATGTTTTCTCCAGGTGGGTAGTCAATGCCCTGAAAATAGCAGGGGCACTCATTTCTATGAAGGAAAAGGAAATATGTTAGCATTTTAAAAATTGCCTTCATTGATAAAGAAAAACCAAGAAAAAATAGACCTTCAAAGTGATACCAACATATATTGACCAGAAGCCTGTCTATTGCCATGTAACATGAAGTTATGCAAGTGTAACTTTGCCCTGGACTATGCCCAGACAGCAAAACCGTACATGGGCAGTTCCTGTTGTTACCTATTGTGCAATGCACCTGAGGAACTGCTTCGCGAATAGTACTTCCATCCAGATGCTATTACAGCTACCCTTGTGTAATGCTGAGTCATGCAAGCATAGCTACACAATAGAATTTCAGTCAGACACTGAATTCTTGTTGCTTAGCATAGTAAGTTACACTATCGTAGGCTTACTGAATCATTGTAGATTTGGTGAGTCAATTCCTCCATAAGCTCTATTAATTAAAATTAAGTTGCTAGTAGAGTAGGCCCATTAGAATCAACAGAATTTATGAAGGAGTTGACTCAACAAATCCCCCATGATTCAGTGGGTCTATTCTATTGCAGCAACAGAATTTCAACCATTACATTTTAATATGTTGTTGCTCAGCATATATGTAGGAAAGCACTACTTCCCTAGCACAAACTTCAGCACAGACAAGCAGAATGGGTCCCCTGTGTACAGACTACAGCACACACAAACCAAGATTATTTTCCTTTCACTGTGAACAATAAAATCACAAAGTATCTTTTTTAGACATTTCAACAAATAAAAACATGCTAAAAACACTGTACTGAATTATGCATTGTACTTGATTTTCAAGATAATGGATATAATGGTTAATGGAAAAATACATCAATTTTTTTCTTGTTTCTTTTTGGAATGCAATGGATTTGAAAGGTTTTAATGAAATTATCTGTTTTCATCAACTGTTAATCAGTAATATCATTAAATAATCAAATCATTATTAGTAGTAAAAGAAAATTCATAATTTATCTAGACATGTTCTTGAGAAAAGTACCTGAAGATTTGACTGATGAGATAGACATAATTGTTTATGAAATCAATGACCAAACAGCAACCTGAACAGAATGAAAGCATCTGACCACTGTATCTTAAAGTGGACTTGTGGCAAAACTGACAAAAGTGGTGTCTACTTCACATGAGTCAGTGTATTTCCAAGAGGACCAAGAAACTAACATTTTGGAGCCAGTCGGTGAATACATTTTTGCAGTTACTGCTAATTTAGTCTTCTGCCTCTTGGGCTACACTGTTCTTTTCATGTGAGGATAACTTGATCAAGTCCTGATAGTTGCTTAGATGTGAAAATAAATACCAACAAAGCAATAAGGTCAGCACAACAAGTGTTACCTACCGTGGCACACATCTGTCAATTTTGATGTTCAAATACATTCCAGGGGGACAGGTGCAGCCTTCAACACAATCATCATTGCATGTCTCTGGCACAGAAAGCGTTTGGCAAGTTCTCCCACAGGTAGATACACAGACACTGTACTCCATTGTATCTTCACATGAAAGAGCTACCCAAATGAAAAAGATTGCTCATATTACAAGCCAAGTGCATAAAAAACAATCCACTCTCAAAAGTCTGGAACGTATCTCATCCCACACACTGTGGGGTAGGATTCAGTGGAAATACATTCTTATTGAAAAGTAAATCCTACGGTGTTTAGAAGACCTACTTGTTGCAAAGACTGCAACCTCAAAGATCGGATCTATTTAGGGCTAAACCCTGCATTTTTTTGATCTAGCAATACACAGTATGTATGCTTCTTGGTACAAAAAGAGCTGGTAATTATTTCTTTCTATTGCTAATTATACTTTTATCAGTAAAAGAGGAAAGAAACAGGATACTTAAAAAAATTAAATAATAGATTTGATCCAAAGTTCCTCTTTCCAGGAGCAGGAAAGACTATATCCAGTCCCAAAGTTCAATGCATGATAAACTGAAGTTCTTCCATTTGTGCCAGACTTCCAACAAGTTCTTTCTTAATATCTTTCTACAGCCCAAAAATATTTATATGCTGACACCTGTACATTCCTTATTCATCATGTTTCTCAAATACTGATGTAGATATCAGTGATATGCCCTGATACTACTATGAGAAGACAACTTTTAGCTTGTCCAAGATTTGACAGAACAATACTAGACTATTTTCTCCTGCTTTGGTTTTCTGAATCCAAATAAATTAATTCAATTTAGATATGTATCTGACTCCTCTGAATTTAGAGTTGAAATACACACAAGACCAAAACAAAAATAACAAAAACCAAACCAAACCCACAACTAGTTGCAAGTTAGCTTTATGATGCAAACTAACTTACCACATTCAGGGACATTACTGCGAAAGTCTATCTCCACTCCATATCTGTGGCACAGATGAGCATAATGGGATACAATGGAGCACATGCAGATCTGCCCACATTTACAGGTATCTCTTCTACACTGTTCAAAATAGGGAAGAGGACTCAAATAGGAATAGCATGGGGCAAAGACTTCTTTCGTCATGATGCTGCACACTTCTGTTGCATAAGCAGCTGTCAAAAGTAACAGATAGAAATAATAATGTTTTAATTAGAAATTATCTACCTTTAGTAGCACTGAGAAGTTTTTCCACTCTTCAATGGAAAAAGCATTCCTTTTTGCAGCTTCTTGGATCTGTTGAATTTGTTTCTAAAGAATTGTCAGGTAACAATGAAAATGAATACTGTACTTACCTTTTCTTCATACAGATAATCTGCATGATTATATTTACAGGTTGGTCAGGGTTATGACAATGATTATTTTGCTTCTGAAATGATTTCAATAGTTCCTTCAGAGAAGGTTGCTTAAAGAAATTGATAATATAAAACCTTCAGAATAATTAAGTATCAACTGGATTTTTATCAGCTTTGCAGTGAGGAATGTGAATTCAAAGGAATTGTTACTAACAGGCTGAACTACCTAAATACAAGTGATTTAAAATATTTTACATAAGTGAAATGGAAAAATAATACAGAAAACTGTTGTGAAAAGCCCTGGGACTTTCCTTGATAGAAAAAGACATTTCAACTGCAATGAAAAAATACTAAAAGCAGGATGTCGTGTCTTGGTGTTAAAGGGATACTGTGCGGACATATACGGTATGCCATACACCTTTGCTGTGTGTTTAATTTAGTGCATACCTTCTTAGAGAACTATATTTAAGCACAGAGGGATGTTCTTAGATTTCATGTATACACTTTTAAGATTGTTGTTGCTGTTATTTAATCGTGTCCGACTCTTCATGACTTTTAAGTCACTTTTAAGATGCGTAGCCCCAAAAGCCATAAAGAAAATAAAACCAAGCTGAAAAAAACAATGAAAATATCTAGCTGAAATATCTGCACACTCACCTGCTTGCAGATGGATATCACATGGATCCATTGGTGAATTACCATGCTCAGCAACACAAGCTGATGAAGTTTTCCAGGAATTTCCAAAAAGCTGAGGGGTACTTTCTGCCACTCCAACTGGAGACCTTTTTGCCCCATTCCCCACCCCCAAAAATAAGGATTGTTGTGAGATAAAAAAAACAAGCAGTATAGGTTAGGAAAACACAGGAGGGGCAAAAAGTTACACAGTTTACTCCTGTCAGATAATAAGAAACAGACAGACTTTTCTCCTTAAGAAATCAAGCGAGCCAATTATAAGTCTCCTGCATAATTTATAATTTGGCTCAAACAGTTGCACATCATTTTGAGGACTTTTCTAGCTATGAATTAGCTTAATAGGTTCAGCCTGTATTTTCTAGCTAGCCAGGATTAGTGACAAATGGAAACATCCCAGAATGTAGAGGAGCTTGGTTGGCTGGCTAGGCCAATTCAAAAGTTAGTCCACATTTTCAAGCTGCTAAAATTGAACTTTATTCAAACCAAGGGCAAGAAGATGGAGCCAGGGGCATCATAGACATAGACTCTGTTGTCAAATGTCAGTTTAATTTGGTTTCAATAGCGAAATAATGGGAGCACTGAGATGGGACCTCCTCTGAGCCATGATTTAAGTCATGTGCGCAAACACTCCTTTCTCCCTCCCCCCATGCCCTGCCCCTCTCGTGCCCTGTGTCTCCTTGCACTTTTAGTTTAATACAACATTTCATTGAGTTATATCACAGTGCAATGAAAAACTAGGGCTGAAAATGGTGGGACTGAACAACATGACATCTTACCTGAATAATTTTTTTTGGGGAACATAGTGATTAGTGCCTATTTACAGTGGTTTATCAAGAGATCATTCTCAGTTGGGGGCCATGAACTAAGTGCTGAAGCAATACAACCTCACATACTTCTCCTTTTAATACTGGGAGTCAGTGGGAAGGATTCTCTAAAACTGTTACTCTTACACACACACACCACTTCCGAGTCTGTGAGACCACCACTTCCTTCCTGTTGCTTCCTTTCCTAGCCACCTTTCCTCCTTTCTCCATTTTTATTTTGCCCTTCAAAGACATATGTGTGGGGATATTGTTCCACACTATTTAAATAAAAGACCACAGCCATAAAATATAAATATCCTTTTCTCTATCCTTTAACAAAGAAGCATCCAGACTAATTATTTTAGCTTTTTCAAAGGAGAGAGCCAGATTGTGCAAATCTCTCCACATTTTTCTTTACACCAAACTTTTTTTTCCAAATCCCAACTTAATCTTAGTACTTATTGGAAGGTAGTTCTTCAAGAGCTGATACTGGCACCTAAGAATGTTTTTACCATATTTCAAACCAATTTAGTAATACATTGCTCCAAGGCATGCTCTTTATAGATATATGCTCTTATTTAGATCCAATAAGATGCTCTTACTTAACAATAAATAAATATTTTTGAATTATTTGATAATCTGTTTCTTGTTCAGGGCTTCACAAGATACATGCTGCCTTGTGTAACATATCTATTTGAGGTTGAATTTTTTTCTGACACTAGCTCTTCAGATCTGTATGCCACAAATGTTCTTAACTTATTATTCTAACTAAAATACATTTTAATTATCAGTATTGACCATGATAGTTGTTTTGGAAAAGTTATAATGATACATACAAAAAGTCATCTTGAGTGTTTCCATTGAAAGTTCCACACAACCCTACAGTATCATCTTTCCAACTAGCATCAACTTCAAGATAGAGCCTCAAACCGGCTTGATCATAAAGAATCTGTAATCCAATATGTGACTTGACTTGCAAAAATACAGAGGAAAGTTTCTTTACTTCAAAGGAATCTAGAAAAGAAATATTAGAAAAGAAATATTAAAGAAGAAACACATTAACAGTAATCAAAATGTTATTAAAAGATTGGGACTTTGGGTTGGGTTCATTTAATGTTTGAAATGTTTGGGTAGACTGCTCCCTCTTTGAGTTGGGCCCAAATGCCACCAGAAATGAATTCAATTTTACTTAAACTATGACCTTTTCTAAACTTGTACAGTGTAAAGTTTAGGATTATGGAAAGGATGTTGTCATGATAATTCCCCACCCCTGTCAGTATGTCATTTCAGTAAGTATGAAGGGAAGACAGCATATTAGCCCTTGTCATATTCTCAATAACAAAACTAGGATTTTGGGATAAGATTCTGATTTCATAGAACACATCTAAGAGTAATTTATTTATATTTATGCTTACTTAAACTAAGTGGAGCTTGTCTAGTACTAAAAGATTCCTTCCATGCATTATGTTTAGCTCTTCCAAATATATGCTGATGTGAAAGAATACATGTTTCTTATTATGAGATTATATAAAGAATGGGGGAAAGGGGGTCTGGAGCAGTAAAACTATCATAGATATAACATCAGGACCATGGTATCCTCACATACTTTAATACACAGTGACCCAAACCTGTTAGTGATACTGACTGGCATAAGTTCATCTGCATAAATTTCAGAGGTGAATTGCCTCGAGTCAAGAGGTTGGTGTAGGCATTTCCTGTTGCACACAGGTTGAATAACTTGATATGCATTTGCTTGTGCTGATTTCTTAACTTGCAACAATTCACAGCTGAAATGTATGCAGATGAAGTTATGCTGGCACAAATATGTAACAGGATTTCTTACCATCAATATAAGGCAAATTAACCTTGTATTGATCAGATATCAAAACATCTCCTGAATGAGTCAGTGTCACTTGACTCTTGGAATCTTGATTGAGAATTAGACTGACTGACTGGATGCATGATCCATCTTGATTCTAGAAATAAGAAGAATAGATTTTAAAATAATGTATCATTGCAAATTTAAGGATAATATTCATTTACAGTTGCTCATTTACTTCAAGGACAGTATAAGAATGAAAGATAGCTGTTGTTCTACTGTTGTCCATCTTGCCACCTCCACAGAACAATGGGCATATAAGGAGGTAATCAGAGACCAATGAATTACAATGGCAAGAGCAGAATGGAGAAAACGTTTTCCTCCTCATCAAAAACTGTATTCTTGGAGAGATGATCTCTTATAGTCTGCACACCACTGATAGCCAGACCTGGCAGTGGGCCATCAGATTGTCTACCTTGCATGTCGGAAATCTGAATCAATTCCATGCTCGGTCCTGAAAAGCCATATTAGGCAAGTCTCTGTTCTATTGTCCAGCATTTTTCTGAGGCTATAAAATTCCAAAATTTTCAGAATAGGCACCAGTGCTGAGAAGAAGCAAGTGGGTTTGACCATATCAGAAGTAAAAGTCATATATACTAGATGTCTACCCAAGGTATAATCAGAAAAATTGTAAAACAAAACTTTCCATTCCTTCTGTTCAGAAGAATCAGGGGACTTGCATACAAAACACATAATTCCTCTATAAATTGTTTATACCCCTTATTCTGCTCATGTGCCCTTACAGTGTTTCACATCCTGGATTCTATCCAGGAAGTAGGGTGACCAATAGGTTCTACCTTACAGAAGACAGCCCTCTGTTTCAAGGCATGCTCAGTGTAGTGCGTTTTGCATGCCAAGTCTTACTTAAAGATAAAGAACAATAAAAATGGAGCAGTAGCATTAAAGTTCGGTATTAGGACTCAAGCAACAGACAGAAGAGCCACACATCACCTGCTCATAATTCCTCCACCACCACCACTATGTAATCTTTCATTAAATTATAGTTATTGCTTTTCAGCTTGCAGCTACATACATCGATTAGAATTCAGAACATATTGAACATCTGATTTTTTTTCCTTTTTTAGACAGGAATACTCTTCAAGTGGCCACTCTAGCAGAGATAGATCAGAATGAAGTCTTAGACCCATTGCCCTCCCACTCTAGAATAATGAGGTGAGACGTAGGTGATGGGTACAAATAGGGCCACACTTTATTAAATCAACATACCATAACTTATGGCTTAGAAAACAGGGGCCTGTGGTAGTGTGGTATCAGGTTTGGTGCCAAAGGTCTCACAGGACTCCCTCACCAACCTATATGAGAGAGTCCCACGCCCCGTTGTTGTGCTGTCCCTAAGACAGCATGACCCCAGCCAGCAAAATATCAAGCCCCTCCAGGCATGCAAGCCCCCAGCCTTTGGTGGCCCTCAGCCCATGGAGGGACCAGTCAGACTCACACTAGATATCAGGCAGGCGGGTGGGGCACAAACCTCAAAAGAGACTGAGCATGTGGGGAAGCATCCTTTTAAGGATGCCCCCCCTCCCCCTAGGTAACTACAAGAATAGCACATCTCACACTATCCCAAGGGAAGGGCAAAGGAGCTCTGCTCCTTTTTGGGACAAAGGAACAAATAAAATAGATACAGCTGCTGTTCCAAATAGGCTCCAAAACACACACGCACACAAACACACACACCAATAATTCTCTGTTCCATTGAATTGTTCCTTTTATAATATTGCCCCAAGTAACTATCAGCAGCTATTTTCTTGTGAAATGAGCCTCACTCACTAGACACTTAAAAGAAATTTCTGTATTAAAACTTTGTCTCATCATAACCAACTAGAAAACCTAGTGATACTGTCACTTGAAACTCAGATAAAGTTAAACTCTAGTAACTGCCAGCTGAATTTTACATCCTGCCAAACTTGCTTGTATGATGATTATTTTTGTCACCAAGTCTAAGGCCCTAGATGACTCTACTCTTTCTCATTCAAGAGACCAAAGTTGCTTCCATTTCTGTTTCCCCCCCCCTCCCAAAATCTCTGAGTATAAGAACTGCAATATTTTAAAATGAGAGATTCTTAACATCTTTACAGAAATTCAGGGCTCAGAAAAATTAAGATTCATAAAGTTATCCAAGGCTAACTTCAAGTTTTAAAAACTCAAAGGATACATTTTCTTATCTCAAAATATGACATTTCTGCTTTAAGATATTCAAGTGGCCCTTTTCATAAATAATAACTAAACCTCACTGTTTTGTTTGTTTGAAATATTTTACTCTGCCTTTTCTCCTAAAATAGACCCAATGTAATTTAAAATAGCTTATTAAAAATAAACAGTACAAAAGTATAAATTATTGCAGCATTAAAAAGAATGAAACAAATATACCAAAAACTCACTGATAAAAGCAATGCACTAAAAAAATAAATAAAACAGATCAATTAAAAAGAAATCAAAACCTTAGATAACCAGTCACTGAATAGAAAGATCTTTGCCTGCTTGCAGAAGGACAACAAAGACAGAACTGGACTGGCCTTCTATGGGAGGGAGTTCCAGAGTCTGGGAGCAGTGACAGAGAAGACTCTGTCCCATGTCCTCATAAAATGCAGCTGTGAGGGTAGTGGGACCAATAGAAAGGCATTAAAATCACCTCTTCCTGACTCTACTTTCCATCAGTCCAGTGCAGAAAAACTTAAGGTACAAACCCAGAACCTTCTTCATCCAATGTATATATGGATCATATAGCTCATTCTTCACAATCTTTGAAGTCCTTGGTGGTAGACCAAAACCTGCTTACAGACAACCCCTCCCCCAATCACAAGCAACTAGTAACACACAACAAACCACACAGTATTGACACAGATATGGGGACTAAAACCAGCTACAAACCCAGATGTCAAATGTACCCCCACGTTTATTCTGGCAACCCGATTACAGGACCTAACAATGTCACACACAACATCACTTTTACCTGTTCCTCCACCAATGTTATTTAAGCCATCTTTTTGCCAACAATGTCCATCTGCATTCTATGTTAGACAAATGGAGCAATTTCTATATAGAAGAATTAATTGACACAAATCAGACATCAGAAATGTCAATACACAGAAAACTTTCACACCATTTTAATTTACTTGGACACTATGCACAACTCTGAAAGTTCCTATTCTGGAAAAGAGAAACGACAGGACAAGAATCCGGAGAAAGACAGCTGAGATAAAATATATACACATGCTGGACACTCAGCTCAATGGACTCAATATTAGCCGAGGTTTCTTAGGGACTACCAAATGTAAACACTGCACTAATTGTGTTGTACTTACTGTACCTCCCAGCTATATTTCCCTCCTAATTACCAGATCCACCTTAAAAGCTTCAAAGGCAACCAGAGTTTCTTTACTCATTACCATGTTGTCATTACTGTCATCTACAGTCTGGGGTAAATTAACCACCTACCATTGCAGTTGGTCATAGAACAAAACCTCCTAGAAAGGAACTGAACATCAGACAGGGATCTTAAAAGTCTTTACCAGAACAAAGCTTCAATGGAAAATATCTCCATGTCAAACAAAGTCATCACCAGGTGTAAAATACCACACTGACACACAACTTGCAACTTATGACTCCTAGCCACCAATCACTGCCTCTTTATTTTGATATTATGTATAAATGTATATAAATTTGCCATGTAATCTCACTCTTATGACTGAGGAAATGTATTTGATCTATGAAACCTCACATTAAAGTATAACAGTTAGCCTTTAAGGTGCCAGGATTTAAATTTTTTTAACATTTGTATTTGGTTTTGTGTGATACACTTGCCAAAATAGCTACTTCTAAAACTGCATATAATCAGACACTCAGATACAGGCATTGCCCAGGAAACTTATGGTTGTATATCTGCAAGGCTATAAAAATTGTTCCAATCAGAAACTGTAACGCAGAGACCATTCAGCTGTAAGCAGCACACACCCTACTAGACTTTAGATCTCTTGATCTGAAACTATCAATAAATATTCTTACCTGCCCACATGGAGTATTTTGGAGAATCACAGCAAATTTTCCAGAGGTGCGACTTTTTGCCAGAATATACTGACAGGTAGCCTGAAAGGTATACTTGTGTCCATCAAACGTCATGAAGTGCATATCTCCAGAAACAGAACATTCAGCTAAAAGCAGAAAGAAATCAAGTATTTTAATGTGCTACAGAAAAATATTCTGTACTGTTATGCATGATCAGATTTATGTTGGATTAAAGCAATAAATAGTATATACAATAACCATGTAAAATGAACAGTCAGAAAAATGTTGAAAAACTATATAAATAGCAACATACAACTTGTAAGGAATGTAGCTGACATGAAGTAATGAAGTTTAAAATAGAACTTAATGATAAAGGCCATTTAGATAAAACATTCTGTGAAAACTCTGTAGAGGTGACTCCAAAAGTGCTCATGACTTTCTAAGAAGGTCACTTTAACTTTTCTTTTTATTGAATTTTCTCAAAATTTGTTAAATGAAGTAACTGCGTCTTTATTAAATAGACTGCTAGATATTTTTAAAGCCAGTTAAATCTTTTTAAAAGATGTAAATATACAACAATATGATGACTAATAGCTGAGAAAGTTTCTTTCACTGGCCAGAAGTTAACACTCACATCCTAACTCACGTACCTGTAAAGTGGTTTTTGAATGAAATACTTACCTGGACAGGTAAGATTTGTGCAAATCCATTTGCCTCCAACACATGTACTGAAACAGAAAGAATTATCTTCTATTTTAAGGCTGCTAACAGAGATTAAAGAAACCTGAACTCCTAAACAGTTGGAAAATAGGTAAAGAATCCACATATTGAAAACATGTATGAATTAACTTTTTTTGTAAGATTGTAACCAGGAATAGTCAGAAATCAGGGCTAAGATCAGAATTCTGTAGAATCTGAGTTTTAATTCTAAAGCAAACTAGCTTGCTTAGACCCAATAAAGAGAGTGGAAATTGTTAGTAATAACTAACTCATGTTCCACTGATTTCAGTAGGTAGACTCTATATAAAATGAATACTGAACTTCACCCTGTTTCTCAAGTTGTGCCACTAATTTTGGAATGCTTATTATTCATTTCCCTTAGATTATTCTAAGGGAAATGAATGAATCCTTCCACATTGTGAGGGGGCTGCACAGGTCCAATAAGCTGCTTGGCCCACACTTAGCCAAGGAAAGAAGCAGTGATCATTTTCCACAGGCTATGTCAGAAAGTGTTCAACCACAGACTAGAAAAATAAGGAAGTAGTAACCTCAGAACTGCAGAGCTGGAAGGGACCCTATGGATCATCTGAGTCTAGCCCCTGTCAAGGAGGTCGAGTGGGGAATTGACCACGACCTCTGACTTCAAAGCCAGAGACCTAAACCAGCTCAAGTACAAATGAATTGCTCTGAGTTTGATCACTACAAGAAAAGACTCTCTTCCATTTCTGAGGCCTTTCCTTACTGTCAACACAATTTTAAAGCATCAAAAACAGATGTTAATGGGTGGAAGAGCCTAGAATACTCTTCAGGTTTGCAGCCTGTAATCTGCAAACATGAAAGGCAAGAGAAATCTCAAAGCACTATATTTACATCAACAGAAAAAATTAAAAATCCATATGATTTGCATAATACACAAGTATGCATGCTGTGCAAATAAGACCATCTAATAATTTGCAGAATATGCAGATTAAGTTGCTCAGATTTGGAGAACTCAGATATGGCAAACCCTAAATTGTCTCTTCCCAAAAAGGACTATGGAAAACCTACAAGGGAACTTGGCAACAGTATCCTCTTGCTCACATTCTAATCAACCAGAATCAAAGACACACTGCTCTGATGCTGGAGACAACATATAGCACAGATGGTTGGCAGCTCTTCTTAGTTTTGTTTTGCACACTTTCTTACCTTTAGGATCTTCAGTGTGCTTCATTACAATACAAAGTATAAGATTGGCTTCAACTATACATTGTGTGGCAAAACTTTAACTATCAAAAGCCTAGAATTCCACCTAAGATTTCTAGGGGACATTCCCTAAGTTCAAGAGCATTATATTTTTAGAGCCTCTTTTGTTTTAACTACTGTTTCCATGCTTATTTAATGGCATGGGGGCAACTAGAAAACACATACAGTATATCTATTATAATTTCCAATCTTCTATAATTACTTGATATTGTGGCACCAGCAACCAGGTAACAAAGAACAGAAATATGTAAGTGAATAAATATAATCAGTGCATAGATTAGTATTTATTTTCAGATGATTTTGGATGGCATACCCAAGGACAAACATATACCTGTCTCTAAATTCCCATTTTACATGCAAAAATTGCTAACTCCAAGATGACTTTACTAGTGTCAGCAATTTTTGCTAATTAAAGATCTCCTCTTCTTGTCCCATGGCCCCACAGGTTCCTAACAATGGAATGGATTACTTGAGAACTGTGGGGTCCTTGGGATGGGAGGAAGAAAGATTAAATTTCCAAACAGTTGCCTCACCTAATTACATCATCAGCCTTACTCCACATAACTTACACAAATAAGATTTCAGCCACAATTTTATGAAGTGCATACTCTTCTGAAGGGAATAAATAGTAAGATTAGTACTAACCAATTGTTGCATTCCTCATAAACTACAGCACCAGATCTGTGAACAGTTCCATGGTAATCACAAGGGCATTCAGTAGGTCTTACACATAATTTGTTTTCATAAATAAGTCCTAGAACGATACATTAATTCTGTTATTTAATGTATATTCTGTACTTTGAGACTATTCTTTAAAATAGACCTTTGGTCTAGATGGGCGGGATAGAAATCAAAGCAGATAGATAGATAGATAGATAGATAGATAGATAGATAGATAGATAGATAGATAGATAGATAGATAGATAGATAGATAGATAGATAGATAGATAGATAGATAGATAGATAGATAGATAGA